CGCAGCTGCGTCAGGCAGCGGCATAAGATCGGCAAAGCATGCGTGTCTGGGCTTTTAGCTAATGCCTGTGTTGTTAGTACGGTAAATCATTGCACAGTTTTTTACTTCTCAACCTCGTATTACAGTTTTTGATGTGAACTTGAAAGCTTAGTTTCGCTCGAATAAAATTCTTTCTGAGGCAACCAAGCTACTACAGTTCCAAGTACGACGGCGCACGATGGGAGCGTCCTTTATTAGTATAAATAGGGTCATGACTGCGTGTCATTTACATCCTATAAATTCTGCTAACCCTCCACGTCCACGTCTGCCGCTGACGGCAAGTTCGATAGTTGAACCAGAATTCTAGACTGACCAGGTTCTTGTCCCGCTGATCGCGGGCGCTGCTTATCAATCTCGAATTTTAGAAATTGTACGATCCTCCAGATAAAGCAACCTGTCTAGCATTATTTCGACATGAGTGCAGGAGAGTCGTCTACTTCTCAATAGCTGACCACCTTCTCTTTCTCAGTCTGTTTTTGATGCTTCTTTATTTCCCCTTTTCCTTCTTCGTCTTCTTCTTCTTCTCCTCATCCTTCTTCTTCTTCTCTTTCTTCTTCTTCTTCTTCTTCAGGACAGGTTTACTGTCTTAATAGACAAGTTTTTCTCTGATGTTACTGTTTCTACACCTAGTCATACGAAATGTAATTTTTGGCGTGAACCAGCTCATAAAACGAGAGTGCCATCTGTGGCGAATCGATCACGTCGCAGCGAACGCGCTAGAGACAGCAGGCCTTTGAGGTCGCCGAGTGCAGCTACTCTGGTGGCAAGACCGACCTACGGTAAGCACGTTCTTCTTCCTAATCTCCGTCAAGATCGCACTTAACGACTGCTCGAGGTCATGCAGTGGTTGTAAAGGCTTACCATCAGCCGGGATAAATTCAGTCATATTCGTCTTGCCTACTAAATTTAAAAAGTAGCCTATTAGTGAGGACTTACATTAATGCGTTTGCAAGCAAGCAAGCTGATGTTAAGGGTAGGGTTGCGGTCTCGGTGATGTGAGCCTACCGTTAGCAGTAAATATAAACTTTCGCCCTTGTGTCTGAAGCGACCGGACTCAACAAATTGTGCCTTTCCAGTATCTCATAATAGGCTGCCATAAACGTCATATAAGAAAAGTTTGTATCTGTCCTTCGTCAGAAAGACTTAAAATAAGTAGTGAAGTCACCGTAATAATTTTACAGGCCTAGTGTCTTCAACACTAGGCAGCTGCTAAACCGGTGTGTAGGTGCGTCCATTGGTACATTTCCCAACGACATACACAGATCCGTCAGGCATTTATCGCTCAAGCGAATAAACGCCAAAAAGAAGGAATTACATTTTCGCATGTCCCTTAGATTTTGCTTTCCGTACTACTTATATCCCCACACTTAAAACACCCATTCCCAATGAGTCTGCAATACTGCAAGACTTGTGAAAGCCCAGAACACTGAAATTTTAACACAAATGACAAACAGAATAGTATCCGTTAATCACCGCCTAAATTCGAAGGACAGTCATGTTTTTCTGAGATAAAAACCTCTGTGAATGCGTGGATCGAACATTTTGACTGTGGTAGTGTTAATTATGCCGAGATTTCGGCTAATAAGTCATAAATGATCACTGCAGTTTCATTTGTCTTTGTTGGTAATATTATTCTTCCTATTTGAATTAGGCAAAGGCGACAAAGCATGCAGAATTTACTGAAGTCATAAATTTCGAGACTTCTCATTCAGCTGCACACGGTCATTGCATAGTTGCATGGCAAGACAAACCGTTCAATCAGCGATCGGCCTAAAGAGATAAAACGTGATAGGTAACATGAAACATGGGTCTAGTATTCGGGTGCATATGGCGAGGGGGGGAGGGGGAGAGAAGTCATCCAAGTGTGCGAGTAAGGATTACAGGGAGAACTTATCCGGCGTGGTTTAAAGTACAACGCGCGGGCAGCATTCAGTCATGCCGGGGAAAGGGGGGATTGGGGTGAAATGAGAGGGCGTATATGGGGACAGGGTTTCGTCCATAATCGATCCTTACCATGGTAGTGCCAGGTTTAGCACGTGGCCCAAATGCTTACAGAGTTCTGGTTTCCTCCTCCGTATTGCAGCGGTCTCTGCAAAGAGCAAGAGACGCCCTGTCGTCGCCAGAAACACAACCGTGAATGCAACCATTGGGTCCACCGTATGGCCCGTGTCCACTAGGTGCTTTGTGATTGAACTCCTGGGTACCTTATTTTCCGCCTTAAGCAGTCATTTCGGCCTGTGTTCACCTGACTGAGCTGCCAACTGCCTTTGAGTACGCCCAGTGTACTTACATCAGCTACTACATGTTAACTCATAAATACAGTTTGATGTGGCGTGCATAGGCAAAATGTCTTTAGCTGGTCTAACTGGAATGGCCGCTGTGGTGCTTATGAACAACGAATCAGAGGCGACATACGTCCTTACATTTGTGCTCCGAAGTCGTCTCTTGATGACGTTTGACACTTTATCACCCTTGGAGGGGAGGTAGATGGTCACTGACTTTTTTGGTACTGATATTTCTTCAGGAATTCCTTGTCTGGGATGAGAGGCCTCGAAATTTATGCCGTCAGTAAATTCTGCATGCTTTGTCGCCTTTGCCTTATTCAAATTTATTCGAGGAAAACATTACTCTGCCTATGTCATGCGCCACTGTGTGGCTGCTGGCGGGGATTGAGAGCGAAAGAGACCCAAGGCACAACCGGCCGAGTGAGGCCCCTAAGGACCATCGGTGAACGCCCCTCTACCACAATGTTAGTAGCGTTTATGTTTGAGCATCTAACTTAGCGAGCACGGTAACCGTATAGAGAAGGACCCCACTTAACTGTCAGTGGGTCCTTCTCTATACCGTTGCCAGCGAACACATTGAAGTAGCCTCGTGAGGCTCAGGAAAGTCAGCGGAGTTCACATTAGCACTTTCCTAGTTCGCGTGGGAACGATTCGTGTGCCCAACTAACAATTCCGTAGAGTCAAAAGCGCTGCTGAACATTTGAGAGTATTTTCCGTTTCTTTAAACCCTACCTACGATCGAGCACAACTAGCCTTACAATACCTTGCAGCGACATCGGTGGAAGCCATTCGAATCTAAATGCTTCGACTAGGTGACAAGCCCAAGTCGAGCGGACAGTAAGGACAACCAAAGATGTTGTAACTTTAATTAATCGGGCTAATTCAGTCAGGAGGTTTGCTGTATAAGGGCTGCCACCCGAGCCGTTAAAAAGCGACTGTTTTAATAAAGTCACTGTGTGTCGGATTACTACAATCGGACTTGGTCATTATACATATAAAACCGTGCATAAGCAAGCAGAACGACAAGTTTATTTGTCTGTCTCTAAAAACGCATTGCTATATAGCTGTCCTGACTATTTGCAGAGAACCTCAACCAATGACTCCTGAACTTATTCGAGAAAAATTAAAGAAATTAGTCCATCATCCACAGACTCCCCAGGTAAGGCCATTTTTGAACATAAGCTTGGTAGAAAATATTTTTTCAACGGTGTTTTCTGTTTACCTATCATTTTTGCGAGGCCACTTACTCTCACACACCGTTTTCATATATTCATAGAGCTGTTTAATTGACTCTGTTGGTCAACTAGCAGCCGACCTCCCCTCGAAACTACGTTCTGTAACTGAACATCTTGATTAACAGTCCAACCTCCGCAGCTTTGGTGTTTATCGGATGCGAAAAGTGATACATTCACCGCTGTACAGAGGGCACCTTTAGATGGCAAGGCGACACGGGAGCAGAAACTGGGGTACTCTTCTTGAAATGCCGGCAAAGACTAGGCTCAGATGATACGATTGCCAGTTTGAAAAAGAACTCCCGCTCTGATGTCAGACCCAGGATGCCTCTCTCGTCACCGATTACAATTTATCGATTTGACACACTCCTTGCCTCGTTAACTTTCTTAGTTCTGCACGCTTCCTCTGATGTACGCAGCTGTGCTTATGAAGCCGAAAGTCTTTTTTCCTGATGAAGAAAGCGAACTGTTGTAAAAACCAAGATTGGAATCGCCATCAGCAGGTTCAATAATGCGATTTTTGATTCCGGCATTAACCAAGGTGTCCGCAGTTAAGCTTTATTTCTTCGGCTGCGGTCTCGATCTTGGTTATCTCGCGACCCGAGAACAAATGAAACTGGTGTTATCAAAGCAAACTGACCGCTAGTAAATAAGACGCCACCCCTGCGCTGAGTAGACATGCAGTATCGCACTCAAACAATCCTCTGACACTTATTCTGTTCAGCCATGCTGTGTACCTGGTCAGTTTTGGTCTAGTGCCTCGAAACTGTTCGAATGTGTTGCCGTTTGCGTCTTGTTTTAGATATACAGGCGTCGGCGCATGAACTCCAGCGTCTCGTTAGGTCCATTCTCCGTTGTTTTTCAGGCCCACAGCATTCAAAGCCCTTTCACAACATAGGGATCTGCCATACAGGCTGAGTCCTGGATGAATCCTCACTGCAGTCATGTCGATTGACCCCCTGGACTGTGGCGGTCGCAGGACGGCTGTATGTCTGCCCAGTGAGTGGCAAGCATTCCCGTCTCAGACATCCCACGGCATGTCCACAGGACGTCTGGCCCCATTTCTACAGGGCCAGGAGGTCTTGGGCATGTCTTTTCAGCACAGGCCGCAACTGTCAACCTGCTGAATTTGCGCTGCTACCTACGACGGTAATTCCTGCCTTCGTGCAGAATAAATCGTTTCTTCTTCCAGCGACCCACCTCGCATGCATGCATTCGCCTACTCGTAACGCCGGTGGAAGTGGTATAGGACGCGTGCACCGCTTTGACTTTCACAGTTATCAACGACCGGTGCGAAAAAGCACTAAGACCGTTTACTCAAGTGTCGGATTCGGAATATTTATTGTTTTGCTCAGTAAAATATATTAAAAACAAACGGATGAATTAGTACACTGGCCAAAGAAACTTCCAGGAAATGCCCCACCAGTCACACTTTTGCTAAACTCTAATACCACCTTATATTTCCCAGCCGGAGGAAGGGTAAAGCGAGCGCAGTAGACAGAATAAACGTCAGCAATCCCACTTGAATAGCCCAAGTGAATTGGTTAGTATTGGCCATTCGAAACCAAAATGCGTTCTGCAAGTTGAAGGATATTCTGGTCTGCAATTGGCCCTCCGAGTTGGATACCCTGCACAAGTAACTGTAACTGCCCGCCATATCCCAGGATCGGATGATTAGACGGCCGTAACCGTCCACGTGGAGATTTGAGGGTCCTTCTAGCTGGATCCACTGGGTCATCGGGACGGGATATCCTTTGGCGGAACAGACCAGTGCGCTCGGCGCCTGTATCACTTCAGCGACGCCCTGCACTTGCAGATCGTAGGGTGGCGTTACTAGAAAAATAGTCTTTGTTTCAGCGTCAGCTACCGTCGTAGCCACGGAGTAGGTGCAGGCTGCCTTGAAAAAACCTGCCATCTCCTGACGGAGGAGGAGTGACGGCGTGGTTGCGGCAACGGTGAATTTTTCACTAATGGGCTTCTCTGTTCGCGGTTCAGATATCCACAATTTGAGATTGAGTGGCACACAGTCAGTTGTTGGTTCGCAGAATAGGTAGTCTCCAACAGCGAAGATGAGCTTAGAATTAGGGCTTACTCTAAAGTTTTCATTTTTGCCACAGGCTGAAACAGAGAAAACACGAGAATTGTCAGTTTCAGATACGAAGTTCCGTGTCCACATCTTTTGCTACACTTTCGCATTTGCTACTTCACTTGAGGAAACGCAGTCTAACTATGTGTGGTTAAGTGGGACGTCTAACGGTGTATCCAGGAGTTTTCTTTCGCGTTTACATCCATCCCGTCTCAGCATATGGCCTTTAATTGCGTCTGGACAATTAGTTGCAAAAAGGGTAATTTGAAAAATACGATTGCATTTCGGGTTTTTGTAGGTTTCTACAGAGAGCCCCTTATGTGTCAGCTGGTAGGACTGGTTTGTAATTCTCTCATCACTCTCGCTTATACCTCTTTTGCTACTCCTCCTGCTTCTGCCCCCCCCCCACCCCCTCCTACGACGACCGGTGCCGCCGGCCTAAGTGAACACTCAAAAGGTCCGCAAATGGAGGAGGCTCATGTATGGCTTGGTACTGACACGAAATCATCTGAATTCGATACTTTGCTAATAGAAGAGCTAACTGACTGCTGCGTTTCTAGCGCCCTGCTGTGAGAAGGATATTGCATCGTTAGAAGGTAAACTTGCTTAATTTTCACAAGAAGATGTACAGTGCGTGATCGATCTCATGAAATGTTGGCGGAAATTCTGAAATGTGTTTTGGAGTAGGAAGGATTACTTAGGTGAGGTTGTAATACTGATTATTTTGCAACATAATACTATAGTATATCGGACTCAACAGGATGTCGGCTCTTGAATGTACTCCTTCTTGACATTCTGAAGGGATGGCACTCGGTAAAAAATGATTACTTATGTAGCATGCATTTTTCACACTTATTTTCAATGGCCTTATAAATTCAAATGCATTTTATAGAAAACATGCACAAAAGTATGCTTTATTTTACTCATTTAGTAGAAAATCACATTTTCGTCATATTTTATACCCGAAGAAAGTGCATATTTGGGTTTTAAAAAAGTTTTTAATTATGAGATCTTTAAGACTGTGTGGTGTCCATATATACAGCGTCGCGCATGTTCGTTTACAAAGCTCCTCATGAGATGTGCAACATAGTCAAAATCCATCACAGAATTTCATTAACTCCATATGATATCTTCTTAAAGACATTGTAGCAGCCGCTCCAGTTCTCCTTTTCTCCGGCTCCGTTTTGTCGGTCGATGGCCGCGACAATCGTTGCCAGGCCGCTGACACACAACTACCCCCGCCGATTATAACTGGGCCCCCCCTCCTGTCCAGCTGCAGTGACCCCCGGCTGCCCCCACAAACAATTATCACCTCATGCGCGTCGGACGACCTGGCTTGATACCCGTAAGCCCCTGTAATTATGCTTCCCCTAATCCTCCCCTAATCCGTCCAATCATATGATCAGCATCCAACCAGTCACCCCCACCTACTGACACAGACTTTAATTCCCGCGTAAACTACACACCGTGACTGACGCTCTCCGTGAACGGACGCTTATCTCTGTTGCAAGCAAACAGCCAACTTACGGCAACCTGCCCTGTGTACAGAATAAACTAGTCCTCACAGCTCCCTGACTTCTGTCATTAGAAGAAACGAACTTATTGCGCGTGGTTTAAGTTGATCTCACATCCTTGACCGCCACAACATAGAGGAATATATGATCTTCCTTACGCGGAAAGCATGCACCTTGTGGACTTAAATCGTTAAACGCTAATGCAATGGCAGATAGGGCTCAAAATTATTCGGGAATTAGAAGCCTTTTTAAAACCTAAATGTACACTTTCTTCGGGTATTAAATATAACGACAATGAGATTTTCTACCGCATGAGTAAACGGAAGCATATTTTGTGCGTGTTTTCTATAAAATACATTTGGATTTAAAAATACATCGAAAATCAATAGGAATAATGCCTGCTACTTAATTAATTTTTTACCAAGTGTGGTTTCTGCAAGAGGCCAAAAAGAAGTGTAATCAAGAGCCGACACCCTGATGAATCTGAAATACTATGAGGTTATTTCGCATGATAATCAGTATTACAACCCCATTTAAGTGATTCTTCCTAATCGAAAACGCATTCCATAATTTCATTAAACATTTCATGAGATCAGTCACGCACTGTATGAGACATAAGCTCCGATCAACTCTCTGCGTTTTTCTTGTCGGAACCTCAACTAAAAAATCACTCAGGTATCACCTATGTAAACCGACCAAGACACTTTCGACGCACCAACGTAGTTTCAGATATTTTTTACTGGAATAAGGTTTTTTTGCAGATCTAGCTTAGTGGTCTATCACTTTTTGCATCTGGCCCAAACATGTTAGACCCTCGTCTCGGACTTCGCTTTTCGTAGGACTACTGACTTCTGTTGACTCCCACGATCTTAGACATATTGGTTTCCTGTAGTGGTTTTGAGGAATATATTGTAAATCTGCAGGTCAACTTTCTGGGTTTCCCGCAAATTTTTGCCTAAACGGGAGAAGGGATGGTTTTTGGGTTTGCGCTCTCTAGATGTTTCAGTAGAAAAACCAAACAGGATTCGTTTACAATGTAACGAGTCGCAGATCATCATTGTATGCAAGCGCAGTCTTTCCCTTGGAAAATGGAATAATATTGGGCAGGGCGTTTAGTTCATTCAGGTGAGTCCAGCATTGAAATTGAAAACCATAAACGAATAATTTGTTAGCCCTGGCATTTCTCTTCAATGTTTCTAGAAATGAGTAATAGTTCAGTTTCGGATAATAATTACACCAGTAGGTTGTTCATTTTCAGACCAGCTTGAGTAAGCATGGCCCACCCAATTAAGCCACAGTTGCTCTAGTTCAGACGATCGAGTACGAAGTTAGAGGCAGACGTGAAGGTATGCAAAGGCACTTTATACAACGAGCTATTCAGCAAATACGTTATGAGCTTCGCTGGTTCATTTAGCCATTATGCGATTATTGTGGAGGATTTTATGTATTCGGACCTGGGAGTGGGCATTTTGTGTCGCCAAATTTGTACCACCTTTGGAGGCATTTCAGACACAGATATTTAAATGTATACGCAAAATGCTGAGCATCTGAACGCTAGTGCCCAAGGATAGTACTTGACCTTCGATAACTTACGTGTCTGTGACCAGCCTGATGTGAATTGCTTGCTCCCGCCGACGACGCGTCGAAGGAGTTGTGCCTCCTGGAAGTGTAAGACACGGCCATGATAGCTGAACCATTCGGGAACTATGACGCTTAAGCCTCGGTCATACTCCAAGTAATCTCCATCTTCTTCACCGTAAGGTCGATATAAAAGTGTTGTTTCAGTCATATATGATTCTGCGCCGATCGATGCGGTGCTAGACAAGCGCATACCCGGAAGCACATTCTGCGAGTCAAAATAAGCTAGAAAACAAGTGCAAATATCACCCACTGTGTGCGGACACATGAAGAACAGTTAGGAGAGACGAGAAAAGACCTCACCACAGTCCCTCCCTCTGCGTTCGGCCACTTGCTAAGAAGGTAAGTAGGAAGAAGCCGTTATATGGTATAGGCAGGAGTTCTGCTATGTTCGTGCAAATGAGGTCCTAACTAGAGCCTACGCAGACAGGGAAGACCGGAATGGACATTTTTGGCTTATTGGCTGCCGTTAGCCAGCCATACCCAACCCCAAGGTATGGAACACCTGGGATTCGATCCCGCAACCCAATGGTTAGAATTCCAACGCTCCTAACCACTGAGCCACGGGCTCGCTGTCCATTCGGCTGTGATCGGTTAGGGTTTTCGACTTCTAACCCACAGACCGCAGGATCAAGCCCCAGTTGTTGTTATTCTGCCTATACTACGCGCCTATGTGCGGCCGCTGGCGAGGTTCAAGAGAAGGTTCCGTAGCGCGATCAGTGGCGCCCCTCTAAAATGGTGTGTGCTTTGTAATTGGTAAATATGGTGAGGTTCCTGCCCTTGAGGAGGTGCCAGAAGCCTGTCTCCGCAGGGCAAACGGGTGGACGTACGCATCCAAACGTGCTGTTGCGAGACGCAAAAGGTTCTACCTTCTTGGGGATGAAAGTCAATAGGAATATTTGCGTGATTAAGCAGCAGTACCGCGTCAGCAGTAGCAATGGCGGTATTTTGCATCAGGGAGAAGGTAGCGTCAGATGAATGCCGCTGGAGACACACTGATGAGCCGAACCCCTCACACCTGTGTCATACAGCGGCGGTATATCAGCTCGCCACGTGTTTGGACGAGATGTCATCCTATCTCTGCATATACTACCGGCTGCCTGTTGGCAGTTCATGAAGACTACACGGCTTTTCGGCTGTGGCTGATGAACTTCACCACAAATGCTCATATCAGATTTTTGTCTGGTCCTATAAGTTTCACATAGACTGATCTACTCCAGGCTAGTGATTGACTTCTGGGTAGATTAAAAAGCTGCAATATCAAAACTGAAATATATACCAGAAAAGCGCGCAGCGGACACTGGGAGACTCAGTGACTTACAGCTGTGTCATGCAGCGACATAATATCGGTGAAACACTTGTCTGGGCTTCTACCTAGTACCTGTGCTGTTAGACAGGTTACTTCGCGCTACCTATGCAATCACTACATGTGTATTCAACTCGGGAACGATTATAACTGCTTCAAGCGCGTTTAAGAGTTACTGTATACTTTAAAATTTACGGACTATATAATTTACGGACTACATAACAATTAATTTTC